TGGTGAGAGCTGCATTCCTGGTGCAGGAGAAGGAACGTGGATTCTGGAGTCACATAACCCTATTTTGGCTTCCAATCCCATCGCCAGTCCATGTGTGTGGGACTTCGGGCTTATTTACTCCAGTTCTCTGAAACTCAGTTCCTTCACTTATGAAACGGGAATAATACCTAATTTATAGGGTTCCTAGGAGGCTTAAGAATGGGATTTATATAACGCATACAGTCTAGCACACTGTAGGTGCCAATAAAAGTGATCTTCCTATTTGAGCTTTTGTTACTAGTAAGCGCAGAGCCAAACTAGGATTTGAAAGTTGCCAGCCTGCATATTTAGATTACGTTTTCATATAATGGAGTTACATTTTAAAATAACCTGGTCTTGACCCTCTTGTCTTCATTTATGTTTTCCTGATCCTGATTATTTAATTCTCATACAGCTGTTTTATTGTAGGTACTTTTAGGGATGTTTTTCTAAATTCTTTGAAGAACTAAGTGGATAAAACCTAACTGATGTCAGGAGAGACAGATCCTTATTATGACTCTGCAAATGCCTGTGTGATCTGCAGCATGGAGTCTCTCTGAACTTCAGTTTCCTCATCTGTAGAATGGGGGTAGTAAGAAACCTACCAGCTCTTTGGTGGCGCAGGAATAAGGATCTATGGCTCCAGGTTTTTGCAAAAGGACTTTTGTAAACTATGAAAAACTTAAAAGTAGGAACATTTATTATTTTTGAGACAATGCCCTGTTTTATTCATTTTTGTAATTACACCCCTCCCCAAACTGTGCTCAGGACTCAGGAACAGGGACAGGCACGTACTAAGTACTGAGAAAATGGCCACTAAATCTCACCTCCAAGCCCTCAACAGTGCCTGCTTCTTTATTTAGCAGAGAGCTTGATGGCCCGGCATGTGATGCTCCTTCACCCACCAGACATGAAACCACTGAACAGAATGGAAGCAAAAAAGTGAAGATGGAGTTTACTAACAGTACCCAATGGGCAAGTGAGTCTGCCAAATGCTATTACATGAAGGGTAGACAGCCAAGCCCCGTATCATAGAATTCAACAGCAATTTGTTTTGAAGCATTTTGATTTGGACTAAAACAAGGAGAGGATGAGACTATGAACAAAAGACATAAAGAAGATTTAAGCAGGAATGTAAAAAGAAAGCAGCAGAAGAAAGACCCAGAAAATGATCCCAGGGAGCAAAAGATCTCAGAAAAAAATAACAAGCAGGTACACAAGGTAGTAAGATCAAAATAAGATTACTTAACAAAAGCCAGCATTTCTTTAAACTGAAAACAATGCACACTGCTGACAGGCACTCCTTTTTCAAGAATGCCACAGCACTCCAGAGCAACAGTTCATACCTCACAAAGCCCCCTCACCCCTGCATCCCAGAGGTCACTGGTCCTATACAAAATTGGGAGGTTTGATGGGATGGATGTTGCGGAACTTAGCAGTCACTTGGAATCGAAAACCCAGGAAAACAAACCCACACAGTTGGATGCAAAGGTTGAATTAGGCCAGGGCCCACCTGTTCAATAATGAAATAATTGCTCAGGGCAGGTTTTTCTGTAATCTTTTCCAATGTGACATCTATTCTTGTGCTCTGCCTCTAGCAATGCTTCTTCAACATTTGCAAATAAGCTCAGGCCCTCCTAAAGACCCGATGGAGAAACCAGACAGTCACTTCCCTAATGCCACGAAAATAGATTCAATTTTACATACATCAGGGTGATTGCAGAAGCAATTTCTACATCTCCAGTGTAAGCATTACTTACATTTTTTTCCCCTCAAATCACACCCCAGTGAAAAGGTACCTGATGCATTCCAGGGCATTCAAAAGAACCCCCAGAGCATGTCTGTGGCTCTAGCCTGAGGACACCAGATGCATAGACAGAATCCTAAAATATTTACTGATTCAAACAAATGCAAAATTTCTTAATAATTGAGTATAACGTCAGTTGAATTTTTTCCATCTTTTTAAAAGCAATATCATTAAAATGAATGCACATACAAAATACATATACACATGTCTGGGTACGCGTGTTATGTCTGTGTGCATGTATATGTGTGTATGTAAATGTAAAACACACATATATCAATCTTGGAAAGATTGTGTCTGGACTTTAAAACATCTGATTAGATTTTACTGGATATGCTGCTTCTTCCTCTCTGGCTGGCCAATCTACCTCAGTCTTGGGTGCTTTTATCTTAAAAGCCTAAGTTTTAGCCCACGGGGAAAATGGAGGTGATGTTTCCCCTTGAAATCCAAGAAATTGGTGTTACCCAGGTTTTCATTTGAAATCAGAAAGCTTAAGATCAAATACCTACAATTTTGGGGTCATGATGTTTGTCATGTGTCTTTGACCATATCTCTTTGGCATTCAGAGTCCTCCCAGGACATTTTTACAAAAATGGAAATGGAAAAAAAGGTGCACAAGAGCCTGGCCTGGACAGGAAAGGTTTTGGGTGAATAGGTACCACTTGGCCAGCAGTGCCATCAGCTAGACTTGCTAATGAACTTCCTTGCCTCAGGACAAAAGCAGGAGAGTCAGTGACAAGTTAACGCGGCCAAAGGCTTGGGGTGGGGCGGTACTCAGGATGCGCCTTTAAGGACAAACCAAGCCCAGTTCCTTGCTACCCTCTTTTCCACCTCTCCTTCCCTCTGTCGGCATCCTCTTTTCCTGGACCCAAGGGAATGTGAGAATCCCAGAAATTCACCCGGGTGGAGAATGGATTAAGAACTGACTTTGTGTTTAGGCAGACTGCAAACTTGCTCTGCTCTCTGAGGAAAAGAGAAGTTAAATATTGACTCATGAAGTAATCGCTATGTGCTGTTAGGCTTCATCTTTAAAAGCCATTTCTCAACCTTAAGAAGTATTCAAACTTAGCATCACCAAGAGTGGGCAAAGTGATAGCACGCGTCTATTGAAATGATGCAAAGGGAAGTACATACACAATGTGACCTGTGTAGCATTTTTGCCAAAATGTTTAACCTGAGTGTAATCATGATGAAAAAAATCAGACGAATCTGGACTGTGGAACATTCTGTGGACAACTGGCCTAGACTTTTAAAAGGTGTCAGCATCCCGAAAAGAAAATGAAAGGTGGGAGGACTGTTGTAGATAGAAAGGTGATGGGAGATGTGGTGGCCAAATATAAAGTGAGCATCTTGACTGGATCCTGGATCAAAAGATAGTAACAATTAGAGAGAACATTTTAGGGCCATGGGGGAAATTCAGCTATGGACTCTGGTCTATCAGAGATTGAAACAAGGTTATATTTCTTGGGTAAAATAATTTCATTGTGTTTATGCTGAGGAGCTGTCCTAGTTCTCAGGAAACACATGCTGAATTCTCTGGAGGGGGCGTGTCATGATGCCTAAAACTTACTTCTAAATGGTTCATAAAATTATATATATATATATATATATATATATATATATATATACACACACACACACACATATACATATATATAATGTATGTATACATATAGTGTGTGTGTGTATATGAGAGAGAGAGAGGGAGCAAATATTGCAAAATGCGAACAACTGGTGAACCTAGGTAAAGACTACATGCGTATTCATTTTACCATATTTTTCAGTCTTTATAGGTTTAAAACAAAATCTCTCTTTCCCAAGGTAGCACGTCAATATTTGAAAATAGCTGTTGCCTCTTTCAAAGTTCAGCCTTCTTAACAGGGTGCCTGTAAGGACCCCCTGCGTGGCTTTTACAAAATCCACATCCTGAGCCCCCATCCCACTCCCCGTGCCCCAGGAGATTTTGATTCATTCAGCAGGTAAGGTGTGGGGCTCAGGTATGCGGATTTTGAAAACTGCCTCAGGTAGGTGCTGTGGTACACTTGAGGTTAGGAATCATGGGTCTGAGGTACCCTTGGATCCTGGACCATCAGGAAGCAGCTGTGTAACTGTGGGAAGGTCAGCCGAACACTGAGCTCTGCAAACATCATCTATAAACATACTAAACATCCCACAGGGCTGTGGTACAGACGAAGGTGGTCTGTAAATACTTGTTTCCTTTCTTTCTTCATCCTCATAGATCCCCGTCATCCCAAATTGACCTCATCTAAGTGATTTTTACAAAGTATGATTTCTTCCCTTTGCCACTGGCACAGTGTAGGGGGGACATTTGTCTCTGCTCATATTCCTTTAGATTTCCTGCTTTCCCCACTTTGGAGCAGAGGCTGGGGAATCTAGCATTTCTACGCAATTCAGAAAAAGAACTGGTTTTCAGAAAGTTAAGAGCAAAAGTCAGCACTCTTGAGTCTGATCCCCAAGATCAGACTAAACTAAACTAGCTTTAGTTTACTAGTCTTGATGTTCTCCTCTGGATGGGGTGAACCCTGAAATTGTACCCACTACTATTAGCTTGGGATCCTGTATTAACTCTGCATGAGGACACTGTCGCTCTTGACTAAATGCCACTTGGATCACTAGCTGTGTCTTGAAACTGACCAAGGCTTGGAAGGCATGCCCTCCAGTTCTGGATAAGTTACTCATCAGCCATGGGACTTTGGAGGAGTCTGAGCCTCAGTTTCACAAGCTGAGAAATGGAGACAGTGATAACGCATAACTCATCTACTTTATGTGGTTTACGTGCAGCACCGTTTTGATAACTGTAAGACACTCAATTCAGCTTGGCCTATTTTTCTCCTTAAGGGCACAACCATGTCTTCCTTCTTCTTCTTTTTTTTTTTTTTTTTTTTTTTTACTATTATTAGTTTTAACCTGCCTCTGTGTACACAAGCAGCAGTTAAGATGGCTTGCCCTCATTGCCATCTGCTTTGAGGTTCTGAAATTCTCCTTTTCGGATGGGTGGCCCCATGTCTTTGCCAGGGAGCACCTTCATCCTGGACCACCCCAGGGAAGCATCCAGACTCCATGTCCTATAGCACCTGACACTGTGAGGGGTCAACAGCAGAGGTACCAGGGTCCAGCTGGTACAGATGTCCCCTTCCCCTTAGTTGGCTCAACTTACTGAATCCATTAACGTCCTGTGAGCTAGAGGAGAAGCCTTCGTCGTTGCGGCTGGTGCTGAGCTTGGTGGTGGGTTTGTCGGCCGAGGCCACGGGCCCCATCTCCCTCTGCGCTCCACTCTGTGTCTCCTTCTGCTTCTTGGCCAGCTTCCTTTGGGACATGTGCAAGGGGAATAAAATCACAGTCAGATGGTGACAGTTGCATCCAAGCACTGGAAGATCAGACTGTTCTTTTTCCCCATCCATCATCCTCAACCCCCAAACCTGGTCCATTTTCCAGAAACAGAGTCAAGGCAGGTCTTCCAAGGTCAAGGTGGAATAAACCTAAGTCTTCCTGAAACTGCTAAAGGCCTCCATTTGCTCAGAAATACGACATTTATCCTGCCTCATCCTCAGCAATGGGTGTGTTCTTTACTGGAGCTTAAAATGGGAAACGAGATTTTCACAACACTTTCCTTACTCTCCCTTGAAAGGGAAGAAGAGGCAGGGGGACCTTTCTGTTCCCATGGCTCTGAATGAGATTCACAATGGAGTCTGGCCTTTCTCAGGGACTGAGCTCATGAAATAGCCCACCAAACAAAGGTAGATTGAAGTAGGGGCTGGTGTGGGCAGTGGGTAAGGGTGAAGGTGAGTTAGTCTTATATCTCAAAAGGATAAAGGTTAAAGCAGAACTTGATGCACAGTTATTCCCATAGTGACCCTCAGAACCAGATGGGCATTTGGAATGATGATGGTGACGACGATGATGACGACGACAAAGTATAGCAGTGATGCTCAAACTCATGTAAATTAGAATCACTTTGAGAGATGAAAAAGCATACAGATCCTAGATTCATACAAGTAGGACAGGCACTAGACCTTTGGCCACCAAGTTCCCCAGGTGATTCTGACACCAACCACTGGAGGCTGAAACCATCAGCTTTGGCATCAGACAGACCTGGGTCCATATTCTACCTCCATAGCCTGTGGTTGCATGATACACGGCAAGTTCCTTAACCTCAGTAAATTCTGAACTGAACCTCATAGGGATTAAATGAGGATTAAGTGGGATAAAGTGTTCGGAGCACAGTGCCTGGCACACAGTGAATGTTTAACACGTGGCAGCTGCTATGCTTGCTTTTGTATCATCACCACTGGTCCAACTGCATTCCACTGCTGGAATCCTCTCTCCAACAGTCCCGCTGTGGAATCCCATCCCCCCTGGATTATATCAAGTGATGGAGACTTTGGCACCTCGCTGGGAGGCTGAGGGTTAAAAAGTTCTTTGTATGGATTTGAAATCTACTCCCTTTAAATGTCAACTACTGGGTCTCAGATTTATTGCCAGAGATACAAAAATATGACTAACCCCACTTGCATATGACAGTTTTTCAAATATTTCTAAATAAACAACCTGGTCCCTCTGAGTTTACCCAACATTTATGTACCTAAATATAGTAATTTTGTTCCTATCATGTGCAAGGCTATGGGTTGCACATTAAATATCTGGAGGGTAAATTCTTCCAGGTCTCTTGCTCCATTTTTCACAGGACTTGGCTTCCAATCCAATCTTGGTCACTCCTATTTCAACACGGAAAGGACATGTTTCCGTGATGTCCCAGAGAGGTCAAATTCAGCACCACCTAGGAAATATCCAAAGGTGAGCCCATCTGATAATGAAACAGGCAGTTTCAAGAGGTAATGATCCCCCTGTCAGAAGAGGGTAAATCTAGACTCAGAAGTATTCTAGAGGCTTTCATCTAGGATCACTTCTAGTTTGATGGTATTTTCCTTCACATGGAGTTAATCTAGCTGTAGACCGCACAGAAGAATGGCAGATGGCACACTCAAGTGAGGAGAGAAAATGTATAAAAGGACTATTGACCAAGTGAGAAGGGTATAAGGGGAATCCAAGGTATAATACAGTGATAGGAGAGCTGTTCATCACCTGTGGGTCCAGGGGGACAAGCAGAGGAAGCAGCAACCAGAACCCAAAAGGCGTTGTGAAGAGTAGGACACCTGTATAGAAGCAGTGAACTTCTCCCAAGGGATCCAGCCAGTCCTGAATGGCCCCCACAGGGAGGGAACCAGAGGCACAGATTCCCTGACTACATCCTCCCTCCCCCACCTGACCTCCTAGAGTGGCTCACATTAGCTGAACCCAACTGGAAGCCAAAGGCATGGCATCCATTTAGATCTTGCTCTGTAAGCAGATAGCAGAGTAGAGAAGCGTGGAGAGTGAATCTGGACCCAGGAAGAGAAGAGCTTTTGTCTGTTTGATGACAAATGCAGCCTAAAATGCAATTCCTCTTCTTTTTTTTTTTTTTTTTAATTTGCCTGGGGAAAGAAGGGCGCTCAGGAATAGAAGTGCATCTTTTGGTTAAAATGCTGTGGCCACAGGCATGCTGCTCCACTAGTGAAACTATTCCAGGCAGACAGAAAAACAACAAGAAATGAAGCATTCGGTCACTTGGGCCTTTTCTCACCATTGGCAGGCAATCGGCCAGCAGGCAGGGGGAACGCAAATGAAAGAAAAACGAGTAATTCTACTACTGATGACATTTCAAAGTTTTATTCTTCATTTATTATCAAAAAGGAGTGTGTTTCAAAATGTATAGGTGGAGCTTCCCTGGTGGTGCAGTGGTTAAGAAACCGCATGCCAATGCAGGGGACACGGGTTCGCGCCCTGGTCCGCGTGGATCCCACGTGCCACGGAACAACTAAGCCCGTGCGCCACAACTACTGGGCCTGCGCTCTAGAGCCCGTGCTCCGCAACAAGAGAAGCCACCGCAATGAGAAGCCCGCGCACCACAACGAAGAGCAGCCACGGCTCGCCACAACTAGAGAAAGCCTGTGCACAGCAACGAAGACCCAACACAGCCAAAAATAAATAAATAAATTTATTTTAAAAAAATGTATATGTGACCTTCTTAATCATAAATTTGTAAAGATATACAGCAGACCCTCTGCCTCCATCTGAGTTCTGCTCACACTGCCCCAGCAGGAAATAAAAGGAAATCCGATAAGAAAATTAACTTTCAAACTATAAATGAGCATGTACTGGAGGCTTTGATATTTCCTTAGGGCAGAACTCCCAACCAATCTCATTCTATTCAGGGTAAGATAATATGGAAAGAGTTGTCTTAGGCACAAGTCACTGGTTTCCAAAGGAATAAAAAAAAAAAGGTCTTGCTGCATCTATGAAAAACGGCATTTTACAGAAATGTTTGGGTAGCTCTGAACCCCTGGATAAAAAATTCTTTTAATGGAGCCTCTCTAAAACATAGATATTTAAAAACTGGACAACGGAGTGGTAAAAATCTCAGGTTTTTACATCCTTACTTTTTCACCCATGGTTGACACTATGTTTTCGTGGTGATGATGATGCTATATAAAATTTTAAAATATGTAGACAGGTGTTTCAGCTACAAAATGGAAATGGAAGGGATGTAGAAGGAAATAAAACACAAAACCATACTTTTGGGATCTTATTCAAAATTTAATCACTAAAAACCCTCTTAGTAATTTAGGAAAAATCGTATTTATTCCTATAGTCATAGAGTTTAGTTGATCCCCTTCCCTCTTTTTCCTGAAGAGAGGGGGACATCCCAAACTTGGGAGTGGGGCATACAAGACCTATGGCTCCAGGCTTCAACTCAGCCTTATTTTCCACACGTGTCTCCTTTTAGGAAACACCAACTACCTCACCTTCCTGTCCTAACCATTCCTCAGTACTCCCTACTCCTCAGTGTGCCCCCATTCTTCTCCCTGGGCCACCTCCTCTTCATCCTTCGAGGCTCAGTGGCATTCAAATGTCACATCTTGGGCTTCCCTGGTGGCGCAGTGGTTGAGAGTCCGCCTGCCGATGCAGGGGACGCGGGTTCATGCCCCGGTCCAGGAAGATCCCACATGCCGTGGAGCAGCTGGGCCCGTGAGCCATGGCCGCTGAGTCTGCACATCTGGAGCCTGTGCTCCACAACGGGAGAGGCCACAGCAGTGAGAGGCCCGCGTACCGCAAAAAGTAAATAAATAAATAAAAAATGTCACATCTTCTCTGAGGTTTCCTCTTGCTCCCTAAACAGATGTGTGGTTTTCTCTTCCGGGCTGACTCTCCCACTGAACACAAATTTACTTAGCACCTACACATGCCAGTCTCTGCTGGATGTAAGAAGTTCATAGCGTCAAACACTGAACATGATCTTGACCTTCACAGAACACAGACACTAGAGGCAAAGACAGGCACTAAACAGGTAAATATACGAATCGATACAAAATCACAAAGGTGATTTTCCTTCTTTTCCAAGAAGGAAAAATACATATAGCTAGGGGAGAGCAGCAAATCGCTGGTTTGAACCCTGTCAGGAGATCAAGGAGGGCCTCGCTGCCATGTCAGCTAAGCACTTGACTAATCCAATTGCGGTGATTCAACCCTCCTACCCAGGAAGGCAAGAACCTCTTGGGTGAACCTCTTTCGACTTCCTGTACCTACTCCAATTTCTTGCTGAGTGTCTGGCACACAGCCAGAGCTCAATAAATTTGTTGTGCAAATTTATGTTTAAAAGTCTACAATCTGAAGTGTAGAAAAGACTGTCATTCTACTCTGAGTACAAATTATAACCACTTAAAAAAAAGATATATGCAAGGAAAGAGGAAGAAAAAGCTGCATGAAATTAGTTTGTGGCCTGAAATACTTCTAGTTAATGAATTATTTTTGTCTAACAACTTAGCATTTCCTTCCTGGGGTGTTTGAAGAATTGATGGAATGTTCACAGAAGTCAGAGACTTTTTTTTCCCTCAGAGCCCACAGAATAGCCATAGCTATAGAATGTTTTTTTAAAAAACCTCATATAAGATAGTCACATGATATATGGGATGGTCGCATAACTCATGCTGTCCTCAGATCCCTCAAGACTCAAGCACTTGTGACCTCCCGAACTTGGAATTTTTTCCTGCAGTTGTCCTGAGATTCCTGCCAATTGGGTCACACAATTTCACCAGCAGGGGGTACCAAGAGCTGTTAAAAAGAGAGCATTGTACAAGCCTATCTATTCCTCTGCTGGGTCTTCTACTAGAGCTGAAGAATGTTTTAAGACATAGCAATCCGAAGTTCCCTGCTTCTGACAGGTTGGGACAATGTGATGTGGCTGGTGGTATTCTTCCTTCTAACAGATC